TCGAAAAATAATCTCTTAAACTATGATTAAAGGAATCATTATTATGGCTTTTCTCTTTTATCTATTGATATACTTTAACGATTAATAATCAATATTTGCAAATGAACAATAATACAAGTAATAATAATAAAGTCCATCTTTCAAAGAAGAGAGAATAATCTAACGATTAGTTGTTTAAGTGTGTATTCATTTAATTTATAATCACGGCATCCTTTTTGATTTCCACGAAAAAATGTTTCTATTATAGGTTAATCCAGGCACGGATTATTTTTCAGCCAGTTATTATATTGATCGACCGTGATTGATGACTGCGTCATTGTTTTGATGCTAAATACAAACCTGTGTCATTTGAAGTCCTACGTTATTTACGCAGCTATGAAAATTTTTCATTCCAATAAAATAAAAATTATAATATTCAAGTTTTGATAAATCAAGACAAATCCAAGTTCAAAGACTAATCACAGGTTTATGTCTTTTTGCTTCTGGATTTGTATTTCTTTACTTTTGGTAAATTCTGGTTATTGACATATTCTTTATTATCATTTTCAACTAAATCTATCGATTTACCTACCTCTCCAACATCATCTTTGATTTCTTGTAAACTTTCTTTATTATCATTTTCCTGTTTTTGTTGTTGATCCGATGATAATGTATGGCTTATATCCGAAGATGATATATCAATATTTGTCTGGTTGTTAATATTGTTTATTACGGTTAAATCTTTTGTGTAATACTGGTCATATGAATCATAGAATTGATTGCAATCAAAATCCCATCTACTGCCCCATTTTTTAACCTTTAAACAGTCATTTTTTGTCCATGGTTCAGCATATGCCAATGGTGATAATTGTGAAAATGCATATATGCTTATTATTATGAATACTGATGCTACTATAATTCGATTTTTTGGTTTCAATCGGATTGTTAAAAAATCAAACCCAACACCAACCAGTAAAACCGCAAAATATAATGCAGGAAAATAGTGATGTAAGAATAATTGACGAGCCATTAAAAAAAATGGAAAATAATGAAGAAACCATCCAAGAAAAAAGAAACTTGCATAAGATTCATAAAATTCTTTCAACGCTAAAATAAAATATTTTTTTTAGTTGTCAGAAACAAAAATAAAAATGATGATGATGATAAATTAACTTACGGTTTAAATGATCTGAATAACCTCTTTTTGCTCTTAAAATAATTACAGTTTCTACTACAATATAAAAATATAATGCCAATGAAGAACTCCACCATACTATAGGGTTCCCAATTAAATAAATATGTCTGTGATCCTTTCCCCAGAAACTGATTCCACGATCTAATAAAACCCAAGAACTTGGACGAGACTCATATGGATGTGAACCGGTTAATCCAGAATTTGTAGTCCACATTACTTTATTAATTTCAAAAAATTTTCCAAAAAACCCAATTTTTTTATAATTTACTTTTTCTGCATCTTCTGGCACTATTTGAAAAAGAAAAAAAAATATATATACACACAAATAAGAAAAACAATTTTTCAGTGGGAATTAATCAAATAAATTAAAATTCTTACATTTTGGGTGTGAATTTGACTCTATATACCAGATTGTATTAGGTTTGGATCCACCATTAACACACGTAACTTCTTGTTGATTAAAACCCCAATCGGGCAATTTCACGGAATGTGAAAACAAATAACAACCAGTCACAACATGTCTAAGACGAAACTTTGTATGAAGAGCACGGAGTCTTTTTCCAGATTCTGAATCTGATTTATCATAATCAGCGATTTCTACACGCCAATCATCATTACCATCGCCCGAAAATCCTTCATAACCATATGTACT